CAGCAGGAGGCGCTGTTGGAGTGGTAGAGATCGAGGTTTCCCCGGTAACGCTGTACACAAAGCAGCGCTCCACTCACAAACGCTGCTTTATCAGATATTACATGCGAGATGAAACGAAAATGACGTCCAAAATTTTCTGAAGACAGTCCGTTTCCTTCGTTTCCCGCACTGGGTTTCGATTTTGAAACTGCAGTGCTCATGTTTATTCAACGAAGTCAAAGCCTTTTGGAAAATCTATTTGTGGCGGTCAGTTTTGATATTGTGGTGGGCACCACAAATAAATCAATGTATGGGAAACACTTAGTTACATAGGCTACAGAAACTTAAAAGCTCCTCCTGGCAACCCGTCAAAATATAAGTTCGGGTTAGCTTAAAGAAATGATCAGAAATATATTACTGTGGTGCAGTATGATATACATAATACTACTACAACAATTATTAAAACTTTTGTTTAAAAGAATAATCACACAATACACTATTTCTTCCATGTTTTAATTTTAATAGTAAACCCTTTGTTTGCCAAAAAATAAAAAGTTTTAACTCTCATCTGATTAAAAGATAAATTAAATTGATTTATGCCTTAATTTGCACTGCACTGTAAATTAAAACTAACTGAAATTTCTAGTGTCACATAGGCCAAGACATTTCAATAGGCTATTGAACTAAGTGTGCCTGTAAAAGGCTATTAGTGTTATAGTTTAATGAAAATAGTTGCAGTCTTCTTAACAACTTCTACAATATAGCTATGAAGACAATTTAATTATTTACACTTATTATATAAATTTTTTTAAGTTAATCCATTGATGTGCATTAGATGATGAATTGAATAGTCACCTCTACTATTGTAGGTTATGTTTTAGCCATCATAAAAGAATTAATGAGGAATTATGAGAGGTTATGCTACTACACATACATTTCTAACATGTAAATTATTGAAGCCAAATACTTACATTTCCCCAAGCTGTTCATAGGCTTAATCATGAAGCATACAGTGGCCCCACTTTTAACTCTCTCTTTATATTACCCTTATTGTAGATGGATGCACAGAGGAAGACAAGCGTAAGAAGTGCAGTGTGAGAGTACTACACTCAACCAACACCAAGGAAGGCAGTTTTTGTCAGAGCCCTTGTTATTCTTAATTTTGACATTAATTTTAATTTTTACACCAGACATATATATCGGTTCAAAATATCGGTTATCGGTCTACGTGATCAGTAATAATCGGTATCGGCCCTGAAAAACACATATCGGTCGACCCCTAGTTTGAATACGGCTGACTTTATATTTCTGATGCCTTATCCCATATTGCCAATATTTTTAATCTATCAAAGATGAATTGTTTGATGATTTAGGAACCAGACACTTAATCTTTGGACAAAAAATAAATCAAGAAAGAGGAGAAAAGTGAAAAAGCTCAATGTCAAGTCCTGGCGCTGACCTCGGCTCCATTGCGTAACAGGTACTTGACCACATCGACGTGGCCACTGGCAGCAGCAGCGTGGAGAGGGGTGTATCCACGCTTATCCTTACAGCTCTTATCCGAGCCCTGAGACACCAGCAGCTTAACCACATCCAGATGTCCTGAAAGAAACAAACAGGTAAGTATTACTACTACTTCCAGGAATCACCACTAAGTAGCTAAAGATGATGAAACCAATCAATTGCTCTTTAGCTACAGAAAACTCCTACAACACTTCAGAAAGATACGAGTATATACTTACCATGGTAAGCTGCCCAATGAATGGGCTGCCTGTCCTTCTTGTCACTGGCACTCAGATTGGCTCCCTTGTTCAGCAGCAATTTAACCATCTAGTTGGCAGCAAAAGCACAGAGTCACATTGTATCCATTTATTAAAACCATCCGTGCATGAGAGGCACACATGAGAACTTAACAAAAAAGCAGTCACATTTTTAACCTATACAGGCATGTAAAATCAAAGTGGCACTAAGAAAGTTAAAAGGACTGGTATTTCAGTACCAAGTTAATTGCTTTTTTTATTGTAATATAATTTTTTTGTGCCGCATTAAAGCACTTAAAAGCAATATCAAACTGACATCACAAAAAAATATTGATAACTATTATATTACACAATAAATGCAATACACAAATAAATGATTCATATTCAATCCTTGAAGGCTGTGTAAATATGGACAATTATATTTAAATTTGTATTTAAATTTAAATAAAGTTTAATATATTCAATATTAATAATATAGAAATATTATAAAATTATAATTACTGTGCACAAAACGTCTGGTTTTCTTAAATATTTAATATATTTATACACAGACATTATGAACTATTTAAATTATTACATTTTAAGATTTTAATTATAATGTACTGGCATCTACTACTGACATTTGATATTGTGACAACTATACAGACAGGTCCAAATAAAGACTAAAAGCAGCGAAGGTTATATAAAATATCAAACCAAAAAGGAAGTATCTGTACTCGCTCTAATGGCAATTTGCACTTTCGCAATCTTGTGGAGAGCTAAAACAAAGATGTTGAGGGCTGAAGTGGCCCACCCTGTCGTTTAATTCACCAAAGTGCATTAGAAGAGTAATTCCACCCTACCTCCTGGTATCCACTCTGAGCAGCGTGATGCAAGGGCGCTCTGCCCGTGCGGTCGGCCATATTCAGGCTGCTCACATGGGGCAGCAGGGCCTCGATGCAACGCATGGCTCGGTTGGCCGCTGCAATGTGCAGTGGTGTCTGCCAGAACTTATCCCGCACGGTAACGTCAGCTCCCTTCCTTAGCAGCAACCCCACAGCCCTCTGGGTAAAAAACAAAACAATGCATGAATCATATTAGATTGCTAAAAATGCTAAACAATGGCATGAGTAAGCTGTTACTCAGATTGAGCCTCCACTCAGGCATATAAATCACACAGGCTGCTTACCTCGTTTCTGGAAGCAGCTGCTCTGTGCAATGGTGTTAGCCACACATGGTCCTTTGCATTGACATTCGCACCTATGCAGTTAAGTGAACCAAAAAAAATGAAGTATAACAGATTTAAAGAATGAAGTTAATTAATGACTAATACTTAAGCAATAAAGTAAAACAAGCCATTCTACATTGTGAAATCATTTGTGGCTAAAGGGCGTTGTAAGGCATGTCACGCAGCAGAGCCTCTCATACCAAAATGCTTAAATATGACAGTTTATAAATAATAAAACCATTACGGACACAATTTTTTATTAAAACACTTAGCAAATTAATCTAAGGTGAAGTGTGTAATTTCTGTGCCATTAGCGTCAGCAAATTATAAAAATAATGATGGTTTCCAAACAGGTCACAAATTCATGCTCTTGGTTGAGCCAAAATTAAAATGAAATTCTACACTGATTTTTTTTTCCCAAGCAGACATTCTACTGATAAGTTAGCACTGTAGTCACTACATATTTGCTTGCTTATCCTCTAAAACAAAACAAAATTAGATTTGGTTCATTAGATGAGATGTTAAAGTGCCTCGGGCTGAAAATCAACCGCTTTAGGTTTAGCAGGCGCTGTGTAGTGACATAGACCAGTGGTGCTAAACCTTTTGTGGTCAGCCAAATAGACATAAAATATTTACTTCTTCAGTTCTGCCTAAAATAATAATAAATAAATCAACAAATAAATAAATCAATAAATATTTCAATAATATAATCGACACATTAGCACATTCACGGTTCTCAAATATCAGTTAATGGTCACATGGCATGCAAGTAAACAAATAAAAATATCTAATATTTTTCCGTAAGTGTTTTGATGATTTTATTTTAAATTGGGCTGCACGAATCAGTCAACAAAATATTGTGATTATTTGGTCATATACTGCAACTTGAACTGACTCACTAATAGAGCAGGATTGTAAGCTGCATGTGTGTAATGGCGCTTTTCCACTGCGTGGTACGGCACGGCACGGTTCGGCTCGGCACGGTTTGCGTTTCCACTGCAGTTCAGTACCGTTTTAGAGTGGGCGGGATTATTCACATGTGGTTATAGTTGCGCCGCCTCTACTACCACGACTCCTAAAAAAAACGTTTTCATTCCGCGTTGCCCCATCAAGCTCTCGCTGGATCCGCTCCTCTGCTATCAAGGAGAGGAACGTCTGTTCTTCCGCAACAGACAACAAAACTTTTTGGTTGTTAAAAAAAGGTGCGCTCGTTCAAAACAGTTGCGTTCGATCCTTCGCTGGCTGTGCTGATTTAAATCTAGCGGTTCTTTTGATTCGCACCTATGCAGTTAAGTGAACCAAAAAAAATGAAGTATAACAGATTTAAAGAATGAAGTTAATTAATGACTAATACTTAAGCAATAAAGTAAAACAAGCCATTCTACATTGTGAAATAATTTGTGGCTAAAGGGCGTTGTAAGGCATGTCACGCAGCAGAGCCTCTCATACCAAAATGCCTAAATATGACAGTTTATAAATAATAAAACCATTACGGACACAATTTTTTATTAAAACACTTAGCAAATTAATCTAAGGTGAAGTGTGTAATTTCTGTGCCATTAGCGTCAGCAAATTATAAAAATAATGATTGTTTCCAAACAGGTCACAAATTCATGCTCTTGGTTGAGCCAAAATTAAAATGAAATTCTACACTGATTTTTTTTCCCCCAGCAGACATTCTACTGATAAGTTAGCACTGTAGTCACTACATATTTGCTTGCTTATCCTCTAAAACAAAACAAAATTAGATTTGGTTCATTAGATGAGATGTTAAAGTGCCTCGGGCTGAAAATCAACCGCTTTAGGTTTAGCAGGCGCTGTGTAGTGACATAGACCAGTGGTGCTAAACCTTTTGTGGTCAGCCAAATAGACATAAAATATTTACTTCTTCAGTTCTGCCTAAAATAATAATAAATAAATCAACAAATAAATAAATCAATAAATATTTCAATAATATAATCGACACATTAGCACATTCACGGTTCTCAAATATCAGTTAATGGTCACATGGCATGCAAGTAAACAAATAAAAATATCTAATATTTTTCCGTAAGTGTTTTGATGATTTTATTTTAAATTGGGCTGCACGAATCAGTCAACAAAATATTGTGATTATTTGGTCATATACTGCAACTTGAACTGACTCACTAATAGAGCAGGATTGTAAGCTGCATGTGTGTAATGGCGCTTTTCCACTGCGTGGTACGGCACGGCACGGTTCGGCTCGGCACGGTTTGCGTTTCCACTGCAGTTCAGTACCGTTTTAGAGTGGGCGGGGTTATTCACATGTGGTTATAGTTGGGCCGCCTCTACCACCACGACTCCTAAAAATTTTTTTTTCATTCCGCGTGGCCCCATCAAGCTCTCGCTGGATCCGCTCTTTTCATTCCGCGTCGCCCCATCAAGCTCTCGCTGGATCCGCTCCTCTGCTATCAACGAGAGGAACGTCTGTTCTTCCGCAACAGACAACAAAACTTTTTGGTTGTTAAAAAAAGGTGCGCTCGTTCAAAACAGTTGCGTTCGATCCTTCGCTGGCTGTGCTGATTTAAATCTAGCGGTTCTTTTGTGTTTGTGTCACAAGTTCAGTGACGCAGGTAGTGACGATTCTCTCCGGCCAATCAGTGATCAGCAGAGTTTACACGTCACGTTTTGGTAACGGTACGGTTCACTTGGAACCCCAACCGAGGTGGTACTAAAAAAAAGTACCAGGTACCAGGTACTGTACCCAGTGGAAAACCCCCCAAAAGTGAACCGTACCATGCAGTGGAAAAGCGCCATAAATGATCAATGTCGTTTGCATGACGTGAATCAGACTATGTAAGTTGTTTCATTAAATTGAAGCCTTTGATTTGATAATTGCGATTTGATAGGAACACTATTTCAGTTTTATTTTGAATAATTGTGCTGCCTATTTCTTTATTTTAATGTTACATTTGATTTCGTTAATTATAAGCTTTTCATTAATTCTTGAACTCCCATTTGGAAAACGCTGATATAGACTGAACTTATGCGAATGGGTGTGACACGCCATAAGTTTTACTATTTTATGCATTTTAGCAAGGCTAGAATGCTGTATCGTATGAATAAAAACATTACTGCATATGGTGGCAGTACTGCTGTTTAAGGTCATACCTGCGCTGATGAGAAGCTCCATTATATGAACATCCCCCAGCCAGGCAGCAGCATGAAGAGGTGTGCGGCGCTCTTGGTCCTGACACAAGAAAGTAGGGAGAAAAAAAAAAAAAGTTAACAGATTTTTTATTTCCTTTCCACACTGCCATTTTTCATTAAAGGCCCACACAGACCATATGTACAGTCACACGGACAATCTGTCCATAGTTATTACATCACATATGCAGATGAGACACATAATTCACGCTCACACTAAAATAGCCATTCGGAACATACCAGTGCATTGACTTCATCTTTCTTGTGCAAAAATAACTTCACTTCATCCACATTTCGGTTAAATATGGCCTGGACCAGAGGCGTCTGGAGGAGGGGGGAAAAAAAGGGTGGATGTAATGATAATGCTATGAAACATGACAAATTCAAATCCCATTTGGAAAACCCTGATATAGACTGAACTTATGCGAATGGGTGTGACGCCATAAGTTTTACTATTTTATGCATTTTAGCAAGGCTAGAATGCTGTATCGTATGAATAAAAACATTACTGCATATGGTGGCAGTACTGCTGTTTAAGGTCATACCTGCGCTGATGAGAAGCTCCATTATATGAACATCCCCCAGCCAGGCAGCAGCATGAAGAGGTGTGCGGCGCTCTTGGTCCTGACACAAGAAAGTAGGGAGAAAAAAAAAAAAAGTTAACAGATTTTTTATTTCCTTTCCACACTGCCATTTTTCATTAAAGGCCCACACAGACCATATGTACAGTCACCCGGACAATCTGTCCATAGTTATTACATCACATATGCAGATGAGACACATAATTCACGCTCACACTAAAATAGCCATTCGGAACATACCAGTGCATTGACTTCATCTTTCTTGTGCAAAAATAACTTCACTTCATCCACATTTCGGTTAAATATGGCCTGGACCAGAGGCGTCTGGAGGAGGGGGGAAAAAAAGGGTGGATGTAATGATAATGCTATGAAACATGACAAATTCAAACCTTTTGTTTGAGCAACTTCTGATTACAGTGTATAACATTAAGTGTCAATTGTGAGGTGTATAACTGTATGATTATAACCAAATATCATGATCTCTGAGTATCATAAGAAAGCTGTAACAAAACAACACACACTGCAATTTTATCTACGTAGACATGATACATGTGCATACAGTATTGTTACAGAAAGGGATTACTTAACAAAAGCCGGAGTATTTGTTAAATATATTAATAAACCAGTGCGTTTTAAAAACATAAACACACAATAGATGTTTTCCTATGCGGCTGGCTGACACCCAGCTCATTAGGCTAGCAGGATGGCTAATGTCTGGGCGTGATAAAAGGGTTATTTATTTTCATTTTTATCGCCTCTTGGGTAGCCCTACCCTTATTATACAGTAAACACGTGACGTTTACAGCTAAATGCATGACAAAAACACAAGTTTTGATGCGAGAAATATAAGGGAAATGTCATAATCCATCGTCATGGAGCTAGCTAACATGTCAGGCTCTGCATACAAGCACAGAGAGCGAACAACAAACTGCTTGATTTTCGCTACTCGTGGGGTTTTAATTTCCCTCACCTGGTCTGAAATATTGAGTACCATCTCCCTGCGTCAGTCGGGCCGTAAGTCCCTCATCAGTAAGGAATCGAGGCTGGGAAACCAATACAACAATCTTGTGTTGCGATCATAGACGTGAGGAGTGAGTTTTTAGCTGGTGGTGAGGCAGTTGAAAATAGCGACACCAGTGTGATGGCCGCCTACTGCAACAACTTTCAGAATAAATGCCCGTGAACTAAACCTAAACTAAACTATTTATATATAGACATTTAGAATACAGAGGGGGGGGAAAAAATCAATTTATCAGCTAAGGAAAAAAAATGTCATGCTCAACAAACAGGCTGTTGTGCATATTTTTTTTAATTTTTCCTTTAAATTATAATTTGTAGAAGAATGTAAGATATATCTGTACCTCTGTACGCAGTGCTCTTCTCTCCAGCAATGGCACTTTTGACCAATCTGGAGAGCTGAATTTCATAGGCCACGAAAGTAGAATTAAAATAGAATATTAAGTGCTAGAGTTAGAGGGTCTGTGAAAAACTGTTATTCATACTGTTAAATATTCTGAAAATATAATGAAATATAAGCACAGTATCATGATTTCTAGTCTTTACAAAGCAGAATGACCCACCAAATAATATAAAATTATGTATAACTTCCCCCCCCCCTACTTTTTAAAAGTTGGTTTTGATGATAACTAAACAAAATTGTATTTAATAATTAATGCATGTAAAAATCCAAGTGTTTATACAGTAGATGTTGAAGGATGGTTTTATTGTTTTTCTTTTTTATCCAACAGGAAGAGATTTTAAAAATCTATATAAAATAAAATGTCTGACATTCTAACTAGGCGACTAACGCAGTTTATGTCTATAATGCCCTCTTCTGTTCAAACCAATAAAAACAGATTAGAAAATCTTTTTCAATTAAAGCCACTTTAGAATATTTCAGTTAAGCAATTTCGGCATCATGCTTTTTAAACATGAATGGAGGAGAAAAGCTTATCATGTATGGTCAAAGTCCATGCATCCAAACAAACTGATATATTTTGAAGCAGTTTGTAAATGCTAAAAACGATTTTTTTTTTTTACGTCAAAGATAACACACAAAAATCTAATCTATGTGTTTCACTTTTTTGTATTTAAGTATTTTTTTAACTGCATAAATCTGACTTTTATTTTGAAAACAACAACCTTCCGGTGGCCCTGTTGGAAATTTTGATAGGGTTGCCATTTTCACCAAATATAAAAACACCCAATACAGTTTTTAGGCAATGCAGAACGCACAATGAGTTTATTTGCGAGTGCTAAACATCAGAGGAAAAGCCACTAGAGTTAAAAAATGGCAGACTCTGTAGTGATGGGAAGCGGATCTTTAAACTCCGGAAGCGTAAATATCTCCTTTCATTTCTGTTAACGTTAACGTTACCTAAGTTACAGTCTGCTAGCTTAGCCAAACAACACTAACTTTATGAGTTTGTTTAAATATAAGGCATATTTAAGGGCAGAATTGTCATATATTTAAAAAAAGACACTGTTTTATATGCAAACACATCGTTCTTTTTATTATGTTATGCGTTACGTTAAATATATAATAGCCTCACAATAAATGTAGAGAAGCTATCTAGAAACAGTTCAGTGTCTGTCAGCATAAAGTCTCAAACCAAGTGGTCTTGCCTACCTGAACACTATTTTTTGACCATCATATGCCCAGTCATGCTGTTGGAACACACATATGATGTCCAAAAATGCTGTCTAAGAGAGCAGCCACCACTATCCCTGAAGATGTCTTAGCTGATTTAAACTGGTCTCCCAGTCTTGAAGACCAGCAAAACATTTATGCTGGTATAAACTTTTTGATTAGAACCATAAATAGCAGCAACCAAAGCTTGGTTTTGAGAAAGTCAAACATTTGCAATTGGACATCCTGATCTTTAATAGTCTGTTCTTTTGATTAATAATTGCAGCGCTCGGGGAGCAGTAAGACCAGCACAAGTCCTACAGAGAACTATCAGCTGGCTCGGAGACGCACGCTGCAGGTGGTGGTCAGCTCTCTGCTGACAGAGTGTGGCTTCGAGAGCGCTGAGAAAGCAGCGATGGAGACACTCACTGAGATGATGCAGAGCTGTGAGTCCTTCCCTTATCTCATGCAAGTCACCTGTAAGATTATATATGTGTGAGTGTGTGTGTTTATATAAATGTAATATTTATGTAATTAATTGTTTTTATTTCGATTACAGAATAAACACGTTTCATTGTATGTGTTTTCTATATTAAGAGTCTGATTATCTTTTGATAGATATAACTGAGGTTGGACGTTGTGCGAAGGCAACCTGTGAGCACACAGCTAGAAGCACCCCTACACTCTCTGATGTGGTCATCACATTGGTCGAAATGGGTTGGTTGCCCTTTTATCAATCTATTTTATCTTAAGAAGTAAAGATTTCACTTCTGTATGTGGTTGAATCACGTTTATCTGTTAATGAGATTTTAACTAATTCTGAGGTTTACTTTTTCCACAATCGTAGGTTTTAATGTGGATACTCTTCCAGTGTACGCCAAAAGATCCCAAAGGATGGTCATAACTGCACGTAGGTTTACCATTTTTTACTAATTTATCCGTTTATCCTATATTATCTGTTATAACTGTTTAAATGTACTCTTCTGTGTTTAACAGCTCCAATAACAAATGCTCCACTCGTCCCAAAAGCCCTCATAGCCGGACAGAAGCGCACTCATCCAACATACATCCCCAGCCACTTCCCAGAATTCCCAGATCCTCATACATACATCAAAACACCAGTGAGTTATTTTGCTCACCTGATGCCTTGCTATTGTGTGACTTTCAGCTTAACAACCAATAACATTAAGAACATACATTCTGCTTCACAATATTATATCTCACATTTCTGTTTTAGACCTTTCGAGAGCCTGTGTCAGATTATCAGGTGGTGAGAGAGAAGGCGGCATCACAGAGGAGAGATGTGGAACGTGCGCTCACGCGCTTCATGGCCAAGACAGGAGAGACGCAAAGCCTTTTTAAGGACGACATCAGTGCATTCCCTTGTGAGTTTTTCTGCCCCAAATACTGCCAGTGTCTTATTATACTTTGACTACCCTTTTGACTTTCTAGCATTTATTATTCATCTGTCTGTGTGTAATAAGTGATCGCAGCAAAGCTGAGCGCCATCCCTTACCTGAGTGCCCTGCTGCCCTCTGAACTAGAGCTTCAGACACTGGAGGAGACAGATTCATCCGAGCAGGATGACCAGACAGACACAGAGAACAACTCCAGTAACGTCAGTCAGGCAAGCATGAAGCATTTTTTCTTGTCAAAATGTTTATGCAAAAACATGAACTGTCTGTCAAAAAACATGTCTGTTGTTTTTCTATGATTTTTGTTTTTGTTTATAACGTGTGTGTATATGTGTGTGTGTGTGTGTGTGTGTGTGTATATATGTATATGTGTGTGTGCAATAACTATATTTTGTATTTTGTTTAATTTTATTTTAATAATGACCTTTTTAATAGAATTACTTTATTATTATTATTATTTTAATAATAATTAATGATTTTTTTTCTTCTTTTCTCTAGGATGACCAAAGTGCAGATAAAGAGAACGTAGTGCTGCCGCCTGGTGGTGTTGTGCCTACAGGGAAGGCCAATGAGGAAAACATGATTGACAACCCATATCTTCGGCCAGTCAAAAAGCCCAAAGTGAGAAGGAAAAAATGAAAATTTATATATTGACTCGGCTACTTCTACATCAGCTGATTAGGATGGATGATGACTTCTTAGTACGTGCTAATCACATTATGCCCCTTGAAGTTACAGCTAACATACAAGGAACCAGAGTCTTCAACAATTGCAATTTGGAAACGCGCAGTGGTCCATCATGTTACTGATGTTTGATTCATATAGAATGACAGACTTTTCTGTACATCTGAAAATATTAGATGGAATTCAAGCAGGCAACTTCTCTAAAGTGTAACACAGCTCACAGTTGATTTTTGGTAGTTTGTTTTGATAAGCCTTCCCTTGAAATATCATTTCGTTTTTACAGTTCTAAACAACACATCAGAAACATGACATTCTCTTTTGATTTGTGTGTATTTGTTACTCATTTGTGAGTGATGGTAATAAATGTCTATCATTGTTTATTTTAAGGCATCGTTTCAAAAGGACAAGTTGAAAATTAAACCAGAACGTGGAAACATCTCCATTATGAGCATGTGTCCCGTGTTTTGTTACTCTACTCACTACTGCATTAGTTTAATTTTAAGTAATGTACCTCAAAAATAAGGTTTCACACTTGTTATGAAATAGGAAAACTTGTCTTATAAAGCTTTAATGTTTGTATGCATTGACAATCACACTGAATTTTTGTGGTAGCATTTTAGTATCATTAGTAAAACAAGCTTAGATATGCCAGCCTGTTCCTCTGTTTCCTAAACTCTTTGTCATGGTAGAGCTGCATGGACACAAAACACATCAAGTTAAAAATGGGGGGGAAAAAATCAATTTATCAGCTAAGGAAAAAAAATGTCATGCTCAACAAACAGGCTGTTGTGCATATTTTTTTTAATTTTTCCTTTAAATTATAATTTGTAGAAGAATGTAAGATATATCTGTACCTCTGTACGCAGTGCTCTTCTCTCCAGCAATGGCACTTTTGACCAATCTGGAGAGCTGAATTTCATAGGCCACGACACCTTCTTGCTTTGGATGATATCAAGAACATATGCCCCTGGACTAAAAAAGGGATATACGTTAAAAATCTGGGATTCATTTAATTTAAACCTGGAATTAGACGTTTTAGTTCTCAAATCATGCTGGCAAGTGAAACCATCAGGTTTTACACAAACTTGTGTTTTCAATACCTAGACATTCTGAAATTCATGCTGATTTTTCAGTTCAACTTTCACTTAGATTGTTATTCTGGTAATATGATTTTTAATGCAAAACAATTACAAAAAAATCATTTTGGATCCCATATTTCTCTTTATTGCTTTAGATGTGCTTTGCCTCAACCCAGTATATAATTTGAAAAATAATGTGGGAAAATTAATTCTAGATGAGTGGTACTCAACCGCCCTGCAGCCAAAAAGTTTGAGAACTACTAGAGTAGTTGCTTTTCATTACCATAACACACATTTATTACCTGATACATGCATAGTCAAATGTTAAAAATAATCATACCCAGGGCTGGAATCTGTATTTGAATGTCTGACTCTTGCAGTGGTACTATTGAATGGTGCTTTTCCAGGAGGACACACTTTAGACCAAGTCCAGTCCTGCTGGTATTTCTGTGGTGAAGGGGTGGCCGTCTATAAAAACAGGCGATGCATTAAAAAAATAATATTAAATTTAATTAAAACAAACTAAATGGTTGTTACTTAGAAATTCATAAACTATACCTTAATTGGAGGCAGAAAGCGTGGTGCAGTGCGCGCTCCTAACACATATCCCCTCTTACTCTCAGGTCTGTGTTGGAGCTCATATGTAAGAGTGCCCACCTGGGAACTGCAAAGTTAGGTGAAAGGATAACACGTTCCATAACTTATACGTTAATAAATGCTGTGCCATCCTGCATACTCACCGTGTGGTTGTCGTAACATCCGGGTCCTAGTTCCTTGGAGCCGTAGAGCGCGAGCATTTCATTGCCTATGCGATCAGGCGCAAAATGCGTTGGAAACATCAGCCGTTTCTGGCAGCTACCGAACGCGACCCGTGGAGCTAGAGAGTTGATAAAACAAATGATTAATTTCATTTTTTGTAGGCAAACGGTGCAGTTCAGTCCGGTTATGGATAAATTACCTGCGCCCCGTGTCGTCATTGCGTCCTGATGTTTACTGGTTACCATGGTATCCAGGTGCAAACGAATGCTGATGATGTGGATCAAATGGAATTCCGATGTATGCAGAAGCAGAAGCAGTGTAAAAAGCATTACGGTTCAATCAAGCAAACAATGCTTTTTGTTTGTTTTTGATTTTACTAAAACATTGGTACAGTAAGTATAGTAAAGAAAACGATGCCTCATAAATAGTGTGTCAGGAACAGAGACAAAAAGAACTAGCAAGGTAACATGCTAGGGCCTATTTGCAGTAGGCTATTTACGCAATGATATTACGCAGCGCCTGAAAATAGCCCCAGCTAGGTAACTTCCAATAAGCCTATTTTCAGGCGCTGCGTAATATCATTGCGCCTGCTGCACCCACGGTACGGCAGCAAAGTTCCTTGATTATTACGCCGGAATGAGAGTATAGTTCCTAGCCATATCGGCCTAGAAAATCGCAACTTTTCATTTTCCGTCGGTCTTAGTACACGATGTAACTACAGAAGAGTCAAGTTTTAAATAGGAAAAATATAGAAACTCTTTGGTCATTTTTGAGCAAGTTTAATGTCTTCATGTTTCCAAACGTTTCTGTTTTTCTGAAAAGCGATTTTTCATACAGCGATAGCTGGACGCTTTTGTCCATATTAGGAATTTCCTCATACGACTTTCTGCGCGAGAGCACCCTCCGGCTTCGAGTATGAATGAAACATACACTGCATGAGTGTTTTGCGCTCCGTGATGTTCATCTCGCCTTATTCTGGGTCCGAATAAAACATCAGATCATGCACAGACTATCCTGTCTCTTTGAATTTAAATCTATATTTATTCACACCGGCTCTTGAAAACCTCTATGCGAACACACTTCCCTGAAAAAGTGCGGGGGACGAATTTCCGTGATATTAAAAGTGTGGGGGGGACACGTCCCCCGCGTAATCTACGCCCCTGAGGGTGAGTAATTAATGACAGAAGTTTCATTTTTGGGTGAACTAACCCTTTAAGTTCACACAAGTGTATGCATGTCTCAACATTAAATTTTGAAAAATGAAGAGTTTTATCATTTAAAACCTAACAAAACCATTTTTTAGGAATTGTTTAAGTGTGATTAGCCTATTTCTTTAAAATAAATTCTACTTGGTTTAATATCTAATGCAGTGATGTTCACACATTTTTAATATGGCTGTAGATACATGAACAACCAGTGATACAAATTTGCATGTGTTCTACAAATTGACAACTGCTAAAACTAGAAGTAACTTTGTCTAAAACAAACTGCTACATGAAGAAACATCTGAGGTCAAAACAATGTAAGATCTCACCCAGCTTTCAGATTAAGATGCCTGCCAATCTTAAAAGTTCACACACACATACATGATATATCATATTTTAACATTCACCAGAAGATGACACAACTGCCTTTCACAACCATATATTATGTCAGCACATGTGAGAATATGCTGTTCTCCTGCGTGTGGGTTTGTGAGTAAACATTTATTCTTATTATTGATCTTTATATTTACTAATTAGAGTAGTACGAATTATATTAAACACACACACACACACACAAACAGTTTTTGATACATTTAAAAAAATTATTTTCTCCAAGGGTTGGATTGATTTTCAACATCTTTATAAAGTTGATTCATTGTATACTTTCACTTAGAGATCTTAATGAAATCTATAATGCTGCAATGTTTGATTTCTGTCTCAAGTTACAGAGCATGATCTGCATCAGTCGGTGAGGACTGTAGTAGGCTACATCCTTTTCTTTAGCACTGCTATTTCTGTTTCTCTTTTCTTTAAAGCTGCTTTGAAACAAAAAGCTTTATATAAATTGCATTTGAAATGAAATCTGCCTCCCCTCTTTCACGCACACTGATGTACTTTGAACAATGATATGACACGGCACATCTTATTACAGTAGCATTTAATCGGTTGAAACAAATCTATAATTATATATATTAATGATTAGAACAATATGAAATAGATGGCCATATGTTTTATAGAAAAAGAAGTATAATATGTAAAGAAGTATATAAAACACTGATAGAAGCTTATACTTTCTTCTCAATTGTAATTTGGGCTGTTCATTGATCTTATCAGATGCAGCAGGCGTTTTTGTCATTGTATTTCTAATCATGCCAAAACGGTAAAAGTCCAATGTACGGTCAAAGCATGCAGATAAATAATCAGGAATGCTCAATACTCAAGAACAGTATATAAAGGACATTGTATTTGAGATTTCCTGGTTCAAAAAACACTTTTATGACCAACCAAAGATCACAAAACTATATCTACTGATAAAAAGGCCCGGCATAAGGAAGTAACATTTATTATTTATTACATTTAATATAACAAGGGCCAGAGACGATGCTGGAAAATGACTCCCTGTTAGACTCCCTGCCTTTATTCCTCACAACCATAGCCCAGGCACACATAGTTATATAGATCACTATACAATCCCACAACAGGAACAACTTTTCTGGAAATTGTAAGGAGTCTCAGTTGGGTCGTAAAGGTGATCAAACATATGATCAATAAAGCAGTAAAATGGGATAATATCGAATCATAAAACATTTGCAATGTACAATCAACTAAGTTAACAATCAACAAAAGACTTGTTATCTGTTATTTACAGATGACAATGGGTCTGTCTGTATTATAAATACCATGTGCATGTGTCTTCTTCTTAAGAGAAGTCTAGAGTTTTCCTTCTGTTCACACATTCAACATGTTGGTGCAAAAGCTAAGCTGGATCATTTGTAAGTATTCGTTTATAATTTAAAGGATTACTCCACTTCCAGAATAAAAATTTCCTGATAATTTACTCACCCCCATGTCATCCAAGATATTAATGTCTTTCTTTTTTTCAGTCGCAAAGAAATTACGTTTTTTGAGGAAAACATTTCAGGATTTTTCTCCATATTGTGGACTTCAATGGCGCTCAACGGATTAAAGGTTAAAAATACAGTTTCAATGCAGCTTCAAAGGGCTCTACACGATCCCAGCCAAGGAATAAGGGTCTTATCTAGCGAAACGATCGGTCATTTTCTTAAAAAAATTAAAATGTATATACTTTTTTAACCTCAAATGCTCATCTTGTCTAGCTTGTCTAGTGAAAATGAGATGAGAGTTTTTTGACCTACCCTAACTGTCTTGAACCGGAGTGCACAGAGTACACATGCGCATCGCAGAACTAGACAAGACAAGCATTTGAGGTTAAAAAGTATATACATTTTTTTTTTTTTTTAGAAAATAACCAATCGTTTCATTAGAGAAGACCCTTATTCCTCGGCTGGGATCGTGTAGAGCCCTTTGAAGCTGCACTGAAACGGCATGTTTAACCTTCAATCTGTTGAGCACCATTGAAGTCCACTATATGGAGAAAAATTCTGGAATGTTTTCCTCAAAAAAATTAATTTCTTTGCGACTGAAGAACAAAAGACATGAACATCTTGGATAACATGGGGGTGAGTAAATTATCAGGAAATTTTCATTCTGGAAGGGGGGTGATCCTTTAACTTCAATGATTTCAAATGTTCAATTCAGTGTTTCAATTGGTTTCTTGTGATTTTGACTTTCAGTGCTGCTCTTTCTGTGTCAGCATGGTAAGAATGGTAGATGACTATAGATATAAGGTACAAACTCATTAAATAAAAAAGATTTTCAAGTACAGAATAAAATTAAGTAATTTTATTATCTTCTTGCATGTTTCCTCCCTGCAGGAATAGAAGCAAAAAGAACAGTGGCCTGTGAAGGAGGATTTGTGCACCTCCGCTGTGGTGAGTAATTCAGTCATTTCTAAGTTATATTTTTGGCCTTTTGTGCCAAAATAGGACAGCTTGAGAGAGACAGGAAGCAATGGAAGAGAAAAGAGGAGAACAGGATCAGGAGGAGACCTTGAGCCTGGACCCCAAACTTTACCACAATTCTCATTATACTTTTAAATTAATTAATTAATTAATTTATTATTATTATTATTTTGTACATGTGTCAGCTTCGGGATTAATAAAGGTCATTAAAGCCAACTATGGGCGGACTAATCGCACGACATGTGCTCATTGGATATCAGATGTTCACACCTCAAATATGCACTGCTTCCAAGGATCATCCCTCCGTATAATGTCCACTCGGTAGGATTAACAAATATCAGAGAAAAAATAGTTTGTTTGCAATTTAATTTTATGCATAATTTTACCAAGAGCAAGAAAAACATTACTAAAATAAAGTACTTGTCATTGTCTGTCCAGGTGTAATGCAAGAAAGAGATGTTATGTTCCTGCAATGAACACAGTTTTCTCTGATCCTTGTGCTTGGACTTATAAATACCTGGATGTGCATTATGTCTGTGTCTAAAAGGTAAATTTTGAAGTTGATTTATTAATCATAAAATTATTTTGCTTCAGACATGCCATGTAGATGATAACAAATAATAATATTTGACTTTTACCTTTTGCTGCATTGCGAAGAAGCCAAATAAGTGCTACTGCCTACTCTGATCCTGGAAGTGATGCATGTGTATAATTTAGTGACTACCCTTTCACATAAATGTATCCTGTACAATATGTTTTGTGTGCAAATAAGTTTATCTATAACTTTATTATAGATAATGTTATAGATAAAGTTATAAAGATATAGGTATAGTTGTTGCTAATCTTGTTTTTGGTTTGAGAAATATTAATTCACTCCCGAGTCTATTTTCTATTTGTGTAGTATAATTTCATTTAATTTTTTATTTTGTTTTTGAGGTGATTTTGGGGGGATTCTCTCTGTTAGACTCTCTGTCTCTCTGTTAGATAAATCTATCAGACTCACTATTTTCTGCGTAAATGTATGTACCTATAATGTTGTTGAACATCAAACTGTATAAAAAGAAATAAAACACCATCTACTCTGAAAGGAAACTCAGCACCAACAAACTTCATTAATTGAGAACAATCAAGAGATCTGGTGAGAGAATAACTCAAGACAAAACACAAGAGTTGTCTTTATTTCAGTTTTTATTTCTTTTAAACTTGTTCTTTAATCTGTATTGTAAAGAGAACTACAAATACATTTTGTGCACTAAAACAATTCTGTCTGACTTCAGTTTTATTGACAGCCGAGAGTCCACTCAATCACAACCAAAAGGCTCCGAAACAGAAAAATACACACACATTTATATCTTGGATATCATGTTAAAAAATAATGTAGTTACACAGGTTGGCATGTGCTGCACAGTTTTTGATTGGTTCCACTCATCTGGGCTGATCATGCAGCTGACAGCTTCCCAGTGTTAATCACTCTGAAGTCTAGACTATCTAATCGTGCGATATGCATACAGATGTGATATGCATGGCTTTCTCTTATTCCACTTTGCTCTAGGCCTGTTGTTTGATAGTAACTTTTGACCTTTCATACAATGCAGTGACATTCATACATCTTTAAGTGTGGCTACATGTAATATGAACAACCAATGATGTGTAATATTTTTTCTGCAAGTGTTCTACACATAAAGACAAATAAAAAAATTGCAAAACTGTCTTTGTTTTGATATAAAATTTAGATTCGTCTGCCAAGTAACTTATCCTGAAACAAACGGTTAGTGTCATATATTCCCTGTGCTGTACTTTTATGTTGATGTTCTGTTCCTGTTTCCCATCCTGGTTGCCTTGTTTGTAGTCCTTTGTAGTTTTTCATGTTGATTAGCCTCTGACTGTGTGTCTTGTTGTTAGCCTTTTAGCCCCTGTGTATAAATAGCCTTTGTGTTTCCTTTGTTACTTTGTCAGCTGTTAATGTGTATGTATGTTTCTGGTTCCATGTCTCTTGTTCTGGTTTTTGCTATTTTTATAAAAATTCCTGTGCTTAGTTCTACATCTCTGCCTGCCATCCTTTTGCTCCTGTGTTACAGCTAGATGAAGTAACATCTGAGGTCACAGCATGTATAAGCTTTCACCTTTGAATATCAAGATTAACATTTCACATACATCATATTTTAACATTCACCAACTTAAGATGACATGATTCAAGGAACCTGTCTGCGACCTTTCAGGCGTACTAATAACCATATTTTTTTTATGTCAGCACATGTAAGAATGTGCTGTTCATCAAGTGATTAATTCAACATGGATGTTTAATGTGTGGTGTGTATGGGTCATTTTTTTCCCCCTAATATTGTAACTCATCCATGCTACAATATTAAAAAGCAATGAAATAAGAAGTAGAAATAAAAAGTGTTGTTTTACAGAATCATGCTGTGATCCTTATGATTTCAGTGTAAGAGATTCTGAATTGTAACTGTAATTTCCTCTTTTATTAGGAAATTTCCTCTTTTATTTATTAAATTGTTTTTCTATTTTTTTTCAAATGTACAAATCTACCATGCTGGTGATAGCTGAATAGGATCACTTGTAACTTATAGGCTACTGATTTTTTTCCCCTCAGTTTTGGGGTTTCTGTATTTTCAATACAATATTTTAATTTGTTTATGTTTGTTTTTATAGTGCTGCCGTTTCTGTGTCACCGTGGTAAAAAAAAAAAACCTGAAATCTGCCTCCCCTCCTAAACACACACTGATGTCCTTTGAAAAATCATATAACATGGCACAGCTTATTACAGTAGCATTTAATGCATTGATGGAAATGCTGAATACATTGTTGATTAGAGTAATAAGAAATATGGCCAGTTATATGTTTTATAGTATATAAAACATTGATAGTTCATTGACCTTGTCAGATGCAGCTGGAATTTTTGTTATTATTTTTATAATCAAGCCAAAACAGTAAATGTCTAATGTATGATCAAAGCATGCAGATAAATAATCATGCTCAATACTCAAAAACATAAGGACATAACATATGACATTTCCTGGTTCATAAAACACTTAATGTTTATTACCAACCCAAGTTAATAATAGGGTCATATGAGTTTTAACCATAATACTTCTGTTTTCCTTGGTTTACTGGTATTATTAATATGAATTTCCTTGGACTCAATATACTATAAAACTGATATATTCTTCAGAAAATTTAACATGACATTTATCATTTTAACTGGCATAAGGGGATACTTAGACTAATAAGCTAATTTAAAGATCAACAAAAGTGTGGTTCATTTTATAGATAACTCCCATTTCTGCATTTGTTATATACAGTAAACAGATTATGATGGGTCTGTGTTTCCTATAAATACCATGTGCACATGTGTCTCCTTAAAAGAGAATTCCTTAGTTTCCTGAGTTTTCCTTGTGTTCTCACATTCAACATGCTGGTGCAAAACCTAAGCTGGATCATTTGTAAGTAGTGATTTAGAACCAATTCAACTTGATTGATTTCAGATTTACAGTTTTTCATTTTGTTTATCTGATTTTGATTTTCAGTGCTGCTGTTTCTGTGTCAACATAAGAATGGCTAATGAAGTGAATATTGCACATTCTCATTAAAAAATATATATTATTACATGACATGAATGAATTTCATTATTATTTCATGTCATTTTACTATATCATCTCGCCTAAACAGCATGTTTCCTCTCTGCAGGAGTACAAAAACAATGCTGATAGGCTATATAAAGGAGGATCTGCGTTCCTCAGCTGTGGTGAGTAATTCAGTCATTAATAAGTTAAATTTTTGGTCTTCTGTGCCCAAAAAAGACATACTGTATGAGAGACAGGAAGCAATAAAAGAGAAAAGAGCAGAACAGGATCGGGAGGAAAGCTTGAGCTTGGACTCAGACCATGTGCAGTGTGCTTAAACTTGACCACAATTCACTTCTTTTTTTTCTTTTTGCATTTGTCAGATTTGGGATTCATAAAGGTTGTTGAAGCCAACTATGGGCTGACTGATTGCACAACATGTGCTAGTGGGAGACCAGCTAATCAGATTTCGAATACGCACTGCTTCCAAGAAACATCCCTCTCTACGTTGTCCACTCGGTAGGATTAAGAAATAGCAGAGAAAAAAAATGTTTATTGCATTTTATACTTAATTTTACAAGAGCAATTATTTGTCTAGATTATATTAAAGATATTCTCAAGTAGCCTACTTGTCATTGTCTGTCCACGAAACAGTTGTAACGGAAGAAACAGCTGTTCTGTTACTGCAGTGAACTCAGTGAACTGCAGTATAAATACCTGAATGTGTCTTATGACTGTCTTTTTATACATACAATTTCCATTTTGATGCAAGTTGATTATTAATGACAAAATTCTTTAATGATTTTTTTCTGAACTTATAGTTACTGTTAATATTAATGACCTCTCTTCCCATTTTTTCCCAAACTAATTCTAAGTGTAACCTGTGAAAATACCCAAAGCGTCATTGTCTGTGGTAAGATTTATCTGTTCTTTCTGTAAGTTATTTTCTGTGCTGAGATCATAGCATCAAAAAGGATAGCCTACAGCATTTTGTTTAATTATAAGTTGCAGCGCGTTGAGCTCTCTAGCTCGGCCACCGTAGGGAACCGGCAGACATTCAACATAAAATAAATAATGAATCAAACAACAACGAAAGTTTGTTTGTTTATTTTCTTCTTAACGCCATTCCAGCATCTATATTCATGGCGAGAACCAGTTAATCCATTCCATACAGAAGTCTATCTTAAGCCTCTTTCACACAGAAATTCCGGAAAATACACGGATAATGTGTCCCGTGATTTGTCCCGGGATCGTTTGATTGTGGTTCGTTCACACTGCCAGTGATTTTCCGGAATCTGTAAAATAGGGCATGGCTTCCTCCAATTGACAGACAGGCACATGACACACATGCGCAATTTTACACAATATGCTGCAAAAAATGCTAACCCCTAATCCTACTCCACACCTGACCCTAACCTTAACCAGTGAAATTGACGGCACGGCGGGATTGGCGCTGAATAGTGTGGTAAAGAAAGTTGCAGTTCAGGAGATAATTAATAAGATAATGCAATATGAGATCGCCGAGCCGGGCCGTTCCGTAACTCCCCAACCGGACCTTACCGGACAATGGCACCTTTTTAGCAGTGGCATTCCGTCCATATAAGCTGTGAATGCGACACATACCCAGGCCGTCTGAGAGAATGAGTTCATGGGCTAATTAATATAAACATGATTATAAGTTGATCCCTTGTCATTTGAGATGTGACTTAAAGCTTAATAAAGTGTTGGGAATAAGTATGTAAAATTATTTATTTGAAAACAACGGTAATTTTCTGTAAATCTACGTCAGTGACAGAAGCTTCCGGGTAAGCGGATTCTCCGCAGCTTTCTCGCCTCCGCTCTGTAGCTATGACTCGTCAGGTTTGTAGAGCATTCTCATTGGTTTACTGGACTGCGGCTGATTTCATGCGCAAGGTTTTCCTTCAGGATTTTCTGATAGAGTGCAGAATTCATGGTTCCATCAATTATGGCAAGTCGTCCAGGTCCTGAAGCTGCAAAGCAGCCCCAGACCATCACACTGCCACCACCATGTTTGACTGTTGGTATGATGTTCTTTTTATGAAATGCTGTGTTGGGTTTATGCCAGATGTAACGGGACACACATTCAGAGGTGGACTTGCTGGTGTGTTTGGGATCATTGTCCTGCTGCATAACCCAAGTGCGCTTGAGGTCACAAACTGACGGCCGGACATTCTCCTTCAGGATTTTCTGATAGAGAGCAGACTTCATGGTTCCATCAATTATGGCAAGTCGTCCAGGTCCTGAAGTTGCAAAGCAGCCCCAGATCATCACACTACCACCACCATGTTTGACTGTTGGTATGATGTTCTTTTTATGAAATGCTGTGTTGATTTTACGCCAGATGTAACAAGACACACATTTTCCAAAAAGTTCAACTTTTGTTGCATCAGTCCACAGAATATTTGCCCAAAAGTCTTGGCGATAATCAAGATATTTTTTGGCAAATGTGAGACGAGCTTTTGTGTTCTTTTTGGTCAGCAATGGCTTTTGCCTTGGACCTCTTCCATGGATGCCGTTTTTGCCTCTTTCTTATCGTTGAATCATGAACACTGACCTTAACTGAGGCAAGTGAGGCCTGCAGTTCTTTAGATGTTGTTCTCGGTTCTTTTATGACTTCTTGGATGAGTCGTCATTGCGCTCTTGGAGTAATTTTGGTAGGTCGGCAACTCCTGGGAAGGTTCACCACTGTTCCAAGTTTTCTCCATTTGTGGATAATGGCTCTGAGCGTGGTTCGCTGGAGTCCCAAAGCCTTAGAAATGACTTTATAATCTTTTCCAGACTGATTCTTGTCAACTGTTTTGTTTCTCATCTGTTCTTGAATTTCTTTAGATTGCGGCATGATGTGTTGCTCTTTAAGCATGCTTCACTTTGTCAGACAGCTTCTATTTAAGTGATTTCTTGATTCAACAGGTCTGGCAGTAATCAGGCCTGGGTGTGGCTAGTGAAATTTAACTCAGCTTTCTAAAATAATAAGAAATAATAATGCCAGAAGCAGTGTAAACACTATTGGATTACATATCAACACAGTCATGAGGAATGCCACCCACCTGATAACATCAAGGCCGCTCCATAAGAACCGCAGAACTCAGGGCATGATGAGCAGCAATGTTGACCTTATAAAACCTGGCAAAGGTGCATGGAGATGCCCATACCCTTCTTCACACCACCATAGTAGACAAACAACTGGTCAGTTTGTCTGAATCAAGCAGTGATCTCAACATAACATCTCAAGGCACGAACAGGACACAAAAGTTAAGCATTCTCGTCAGACCCCGAAGTAGTCTGAAAAGAGGCCAGCTCAATGCTCTGATTTATAAACTGAGGAAGAAGGACCTTCGGAAGAATAAAATGATTAGGTCACAGAACCACTCCAAACCAATGCAAGCACAAGTCAGTAACCAACAGTGCATGTAGCTTTCCGACACGCATTGCGGAAGAAATGGCTAACAAAAAAGCAGTCTTCAAAGACATCCATTTAATGTCAATGCTCTGTAAAGGCTCAGACTGAGACAAACAAAGGAATGCAAGCACAAGTGGCAAGTCCCACACAGGAAAATGAGGATTTCGAGCAGGCTTCAAACATTGTGCACCCTTCAGAAAACTGCAGACAAGACTGTGAGACCCAAGAGCTGTACATCACATCTAGATACTTATAAACACCATAACATGGATCGGAGTAGACAGAATTTGAAGCATTTAGTTGACAAGACTTCCTCCCATTGCACCTTATAAGTAAAAAAATGAAATGAAACAAAAATATGATTATCCATTATTATCAACATAGTTTGCCATGTGTATCATTCTGCAGTGTTTCATGCACATAATCAAATTAAACTAAAATAATTTTTATATCTATGTATTTGGAGCACAAGATAATGACTGACTAAATGTATATTGTCTGTAGGAGTGGGTGATAAAACCATAATCTTATATCACAATATGGTTTATTTGAATAAATTAAATAAAATGATTGAATTTAATAAAGTTAATAAAATACTCAAATTTAAAGAAGCATAGTTTTCACAGTATAAATTAAATATGCATTGCTATAGCTCTATGGCATCACTGTTGAACAGTAGTAGCTGAAGTGCATTTACTTATTGTAGAGTTAACAAAAGGTATCATGGCCATTGTAATGTTCCAAACGGAACATGTCATAACAAATGTCAATAGACAGGGAAGATGTTAAAACGAGGAGTTCATTCATAAATTTGTACGACCTTACCTTCACACCTCTGGAAATACGAACGGAAGACAGCAGACAACAAGTGCAGTGCTGAAAAAGGGCGGAGCTACATAAGGTCTATTTAAAGTCCCCATGAAATCAAAATTAAAGTTTTTTGGGTGTTAGTATCAAAATGTTAGTTTTAAGGTTATCTATAAGGCAGTGTGCTCCAAAACAGTGACAAAATTCGCATTTAGAAGATATAAGCATTCAAAGCTTTTAGTTCGTCACTTCCGCCAAAAATGACTCAACAATTTTTTTTGACGTCACCTCGTACTTCAGCTTCTCATCAAATCTTCTGACCAATCAAACACTCTCTAGAAGCCGAAGCGCCCGCCCCCTACACTATAAATAAACACTGAAGCTGCGGCTGAGATCGGTCGCTTGTTCACAGTGTAGTATCTCCTTTGGCTCCGGTCCAGAGACGCGATCGCACGGAGCTGATCATATGCGCGAGTCGGCATATATTAAACACTTTTAAAACTACACAGCCTCAGCATGATTATGATCACTATTTTGTTTTACTAAAAGTTTCATATTGAATCTAGGGGGGAATCTATTAGACTGTGGCTGTCAAATGCGGCATTACCGAGCTCAATGGCTCTGACCCGTGCAGATATAAACAAAACGCTATTGGCTAATTTAAAAAGGGGGCGGGGCTGCTCGATATGTCCCGCCCTGTCTTCCTGTTTCAGTTGAAATTACGTCACCACATAGAATAACGCTGCGTGTTTCAAGGCACTTCAGGGGACCTTTACGTTTGGCATCACAATGCGAGGTTAAGAATGACGATAATCTGGGGTTAAGCACAGTGTGAGAAGCCCTTCAGCATTAGGTATATTAGGCTCCTGTCACTTTAAGACCTCAAGCACAAATCCAGTATACTGACACATATACGATTTCCCTCCAGCTGTTTGCATTCACCTAAGGCATAATTGACTACGTTCACATGAGTACTTGCTGAAATGGGCATTTTAACACATAAGTCTGTGTATTTAACCATTCAAGCACAATAAGATGGCAAAAAGAATTTAGTTGAGTACTCAGGCGCTATGTGAGTGGCTTTATGTGTGCACACACAAAAATAATGTGCATGTCTGACTCAACTGTTGTCTCACTGCTTACTACACTTGAATGGTTTAATCACTTGAGAATCACTTCATATTAAACCGTAAGGCTTAAAAACGAATGCAAATAATAAACTTTTGTGATGGTGCACAACTACAACATCATGTAAGCATAACCACAATAGAGATGGTAATCCAAAATGTCTAGTGGTTGACAAATTTTTACAGTTTATCGTGTCTACTGGTATATCATCCACCCCTAATTATCCCTTATGTATATTTTGCATATTGTTTCAAACTAACTGAAGATTAAACGTTTATGCGTGTGTATGTGATCTGATATCTTATGTGACTCTATACAAAGTGTATCTCCTGTAGTACCTGGAACGCAGGCTGCGGGTCTGAGGA